CATTAATAATTTGACATGTATAAAGTTCAAAATTATTATTATCAACATTAATAGTTAACAATGTTTAAGAATTAAATTTTAACTTAGAGTATAAAAAATAAAATTTTAAGTCTTGATTTTTGTGAAAGTAAATTTGATTTATTTAACTTACAAATTTTTCTTAATGTATTTCATATTTAACTTATTGTACATAATATATAACATTTGATATCAGGTACTATAAGTCATGCTTAGGAATTATAAAAATTTCTTTAAAGTTTAGAATACTATATATTTATTATAAAATAAAGTACCAGCAAGTTGGTCTTCAGTGAGTTGATTTCCACAGTGAATGTGTTTAAATTTGTTTTATATTCTTATCATCAAAAAATGTAATGAATGTTTTAAGTTATAAAAAAGTTTTTTAAAAGCAATGATTTTAATTTAATATTCATTAGTTAAAGTTTATAAAAATTTTCAAAAATAATTTTTCTGTTGTAATTTGAATATTATAAAATTATTAAAATAGGTGGGTTTAAAAAAAATTCTTTATAAAATTTGAATTTACCTAAATCTCATACTCTAACGAAAAATATTTACTACAAGAAGTATTTTTGGAATTGGATTAATGCCATATAGTCTTCTGCATGCTGTTAACTTAGTAAATGATCCATTTGAAGAATTAGAACAGTGAAGTCGATGTAAAATTTAATGAGATTAAATTTCTTAGAAAGGTAATCAAAATAAATCTGTTTGAAATTAAATATTATAAAATAGGTAACTTGTAAAATTATTCCTATATCCTTTACAATCTTTAAGCACATTCATAAGCTTTATTTCTTATAATTGTGGTTATTCAAATATAGTAGTAACATATTTTAAATTAAAAATAAAATTTAAAAATATAGGTATGTAATGTAAGGCATGTAAACTTCAGACAAAATTAAAGTTTAGAAATTTATATATTTATGTAAATGAACTATTATTCTAAATATATATAGTGTACTATAATTTCCATTACTTGTATGTTTATTGTCATAATATAATATAAACATTATAGTAGTATTTTGGTTTTTTTAATATAATTAAGATAATTTACTCTTGTAAATATTAAATTGTATTTTTGTACTCATAAACAGTTCCTACTGTTTCAGTTTGTATATAAATTATTTAGCCACTTAAGGTTTTGAAAATATTTTAATACTTTAAAAGAATTAGATTGTAGAATTTTAAATACTTTTATGAATAAGATTCTTTATTATTAAGGATGAAATTGATAAAATTTTTGTTTTCAAAAGCATATTAAAAAATCTGCTTTATTGGAACTTACTTCAATAACATTTTCTCAAGTACTTTTGGAAAACCAGGTCTATTACCAGGAGATATAATAGGCTTGATTGCTCAAAAATACTTAAAAAATGTTGAATGAGCTTTCAATAAAACAGATTTTTTTTTATTATAAATTGAAGAATTTCAAGTTGTTCTCATTAAATATTAAATTATTTTAGTTTATCAGTAATCAGAAAATTTCTTTTTAATTCAAAGCTCATAAATATTCAAACATTTATTTCAAAAACTGTCTCAAAACATTTTAAAGAATAAACTTTACAATATTCTAAACTTCCAAATCAGATATTACTTTATATAGACAAATTACAAATTAAACTTTTATAATTAAAATTGGGGATCTGTTAAAATGGGGGAAATCAAAAGATACAAGCTATGTGCCTATATAAGAATTATTAGTATGAACAGTTCACTGACTTCAGACAGATCTCCTAAAATGACTGAGAAACAACAGCATGTAAATACAATTCAGATAACAGTTCCATCTATAATTCTCTTGAAAAATTCTGTAGTCAAAACTTTGCTCCTCCTAAGTCAATGACTAATTTACAATCAACCAATAAATGAAAAATGTTTAAGAGGGAATCCTCTATAAAAAAGAATTGTGCCAGTTTTTTAAAATTTTATAAGAAAGAAATAGAATTTGTATCTGACCTACAAAACAAGTATTAGTAGCGTGTCCATCAACTTTGGACAGATCTCTAGAATTTTTTAATATAGAATTTTGTATTCTAGAATTTATTAACTCTTAACTTATTACAAAATTTTAAGAAAGAAGTACACTATTTTATTTGAATATTTACAGTTTTAAGAAACTGTAAATATTCAAATAAAATCATTAGTATAACAAATTTTTAACTTTTTTTTAACATTTTCTTTAAATTCTTTTATTATATATCCATTTAATAGTGTTTTAATTAAATATATTCTATTTAAAAACTCTCTAATTAAAAGACATCAAATTTTGTTATTTTAAAACAAAAATGTGAAATACTAATATACTATCACTGCACAAAAGTGACACACATCGGTTAAAGGTTCTGTAAGTCAGATTTATTGTAAAAATGTGAAATGTTGAAATCAAATTTTTTAATATTTAAATTGAAAATAGTGCTATAAATTGTGTGATTGAATTTTATATATATATAGAAATGCGACAGTGATTTTTATTTAGATGCGTCTATCAGTTTTTCCTAAAATTTTCTAATTTCATTCTGAAATAGTCTGAATTATTTCATATTCTATAAATCTAGTTAAAAAGTACTTTTAATTTTTAGTTCAAAGCATTTCAGAATTCAATAGAAGCTTTCTGAAAAAGGCTTTGGAAGCCTTGTTTATAATATAGTAAAAAAATAAATGAAAAAAGAAAAATAATTTATGATAAAATCTTAGTAAGGTATGCGGTTTTATTTATATAAAAGATTTAAAATATTACCATAATTTGTGCTTTAACAATTTTTTTATTTTTACAAATACTGTTAAAAATATCTTTTTGAAAGCAATAGTGGATCTAGACATACCCAAAGGGAGGCTAACCCAAAAGTTTTTGAATACAATGGAATCTGGTTAACTTGAACTGGGATAATTTGAAGTTGCATTTACTCAGTCATTTTCTTTCCTCAGTCATCTAGCATAGGGGTTTATATCTTAAATCAAACTGTTTAACTTAAATGGGGGTTTGGTACAGTATTTTCATAATAATGAAGATTTAATTTTAATTTTCTGTTAGATAAACGTTAATTATTTTATTTATTGAAAAAACTAATTGGAAACTTTCAGACACTAACTGCCATTTGAATCTGCTTTTTATTATTATGTTGGGTTTAGTGGGTTATACTTGGTTGACACCAGTGGCTGTGTACTATGCCGGACCAGAGTCAAGGCATAGCAACGAAAACAAAACTAAAATTAAATAAGTGTGTTAGTATCAGTATTCAGGAATTTCCTAACAATATAGCATGTATTCAATATAGTGGCCTTCTGTAGTTGTGATGTATGTATTTCTATTCAATTATAATGTTTCCAGGCTTTTGTGTAGTGTGTGTGGTATCACACCTGTACAGGAGAGAATGACAGGTACAATAAGCACCCTTTCCATCTCCACAGATGCCTTATTTCCNAACTTTTATAATTAAAATTGGGGATCTGTTAAAATGGGGGAAATCAAAAGATACAAGCTATGTGCCTATATAAGAATTATTAGTATGAACAGTTCACTGACTTCAGACAGATCTCCTAAAATGACTGAGAAACAACAGCATGTAAATACAATTCAGATAACAGTTCCATCTATAATTCTCTTGAAAAATTCTGTAGTCAAAACTTTGCTCCTCCTAAGTCAATGACTAATTTACAATCAACCAATAAATGAAAAATGTTTAAGAGGGAATCCTCTATAAAAAAGAATTGTGCCAGTTTTTTAAAATTTTATAAGAAAGAAATAGAATTTGTATCTGACCTACAAAACAAGTATTAGTAGCGTGTCCATCAACTTTGGACAGATCTCTAGAATTTTTTAATATAGAATTTTGTATTCTAGAATTTATTAACTCTTAACTTATTACAAAATTTTAAGAAAGAAGTACACTATTTTATTTGAATATTTACAGTTTTAAGAAACTGTAAATATTCAAATAAAATCATTAGTATAACAAATTTTTAACTTTTTTTTAACATTTTCTTTAAATTCTTTTATTATATATCCATTTAATAGTGTTTTAATTAAATATATTCTATTTAAAAACTCTCTAATTAAAAGACATCAAATTTTGTTATTTTAAAACAAAAATGTGAAATACTAATATACTATCACTGCACAAAAGTGACACACATCGGTTAAAGGTTCTGTAAGTCAGATTTATTGTAAAAATGTGAAATGTTGAAATCAAATTTTTTAATATTTAAATTGAAAATAGTGCTATAAATTGTGTGATTGAATTTTATATATATATAGAAATGCGACAGTGATTTTTATTTAGATGCGTCTATCAGTTTTTCCTAAAATTTTCTAATTTCATTCTGAAATAGTCTGAATTATTTCATATTCTATAAATCTAGTTAAAAAGTACTTTTAATTTTTAGTTCAAAGCATTTCAGAATTCAATAGAAGCTTTCTGAAAAAGGCTTTGGAAGCCTTGTTTATAATATAGTAAAAAAATAAATGAAAAAAGAAAAATAATTTATGATAAAATCTTAGTAAGGTATGCGGTTTTATTTATATAAAAGATTTAAAATATTACCATAATTTGTGCTTTAACAATTTTTTTATTTTTACAAATACTGTTAAAAATATCTTTTTGAAAGCAATAGTGGATCTAGACATACCCAAAGGGAGGCTAACCCAAAAGTTTTTGAATACAATGGAATCTGGTTAACTTGAACTGGGATAATTTGAAGTTGCATTTACTCAGTCATTTTCTTTCCTCAGTCATCTAGCATAGGGGTTTATATCTTAAATCAAACTGTTTAACTTAAATGGGGGTTTGGTACAGTATTTTCATAATAATGAAGATTTAATTTTAATTTTCTGTTAGATAAACGTTAATTATTTTATTTATTGAAAAAACTAATTGGAAACTTTCAGACACTAACTGCCATTTGAATCTGCTTTTTATTATTATGTTGGGTCATACTCTAACGAAAAATATTTACTACAAGAAGTATTTTTGGAATTGGATTAATGCCATATAGTCTTCTGCATGCTGTTAACTTAGTAAATGATCCATTTGAAGAATTAGAACAGTGAAGTCGATGTAAAATTTAATGAGATTAAATTTCTTAGAAAGGTAATCAAAATAAATCTGTTTGAAATTAAATATTATAANACTGCCATTTGAATCTGCTTTTTATTATTATGTTGGGTTTAGTGGGTTATACTTGGTTGACACCAGTGGCTGTGTACTATGCCGGACCAGAGTCAAGGCATAGCAACGAAAACAAAACTAAAATTAAATAAGTGTGTTAGTATCAGTATTCAGGAATTTCCTAACAATATAGCATGTATTCAATATAGTGGCCTTCTGTAGTTGTGATGTATGTATTTCTATTCAATTATAATGTTTCCAGGCTTTTGTGTAGTGTGTGTGGTATCACACCTGTACAGGAGAGAATGACAGGTACAATAAGCACCCTTTCCATCTCCACAGATGCCTTATTTCCTGGTCAAGTTCTGTGTACTTACTGACTTTTTCAGTGCATGTGTTTTGTATATTGTGAGTGTTTGGAATGGCTATGTCTATAATGTATGTGATTTTATTGTGTTTGTCAATGAGTGTGATGTCTGGTCTGTTGTGGTAAATTGTTTTATCTGTGATTACGGCTCTGTCGTCGTACATTTTGTGTGTGTTGTTTTCCAATACTGTCTGTGGAATGTATTTGTAGTATGGTTTGTGGATGTCTAATAATTTGTGTTTTTCTGCAAGATCTTGGTGTATTATATTTGCTACTTGATTATGTCTGTGTAAATAATCTGTCTGTGCCAAGAGCTTGCACCCAGAAGTAATGTGTTGTATAGTTTCTGGCACAATGTGGCATTTTCTGCATGTGTCATTGGTGAATGTTGTATCTTTGAGTATGTGTTTTCTGTAGTTTTTAGTATTTATGACCTGATCCTGTATGGCAATCAAGAATCCTTTCGTCTCCCCAAAGAGGCATCCCTGATCTAACCAGTTGTTTGATGCAGTTTTGTCAACAATTATTATTATTTATTATTATTATTATTATCAGAGGAGAAAGTGACATTATGGAACCCCATTTTCATTATAGTGAATTGTAAACAAAGTATCATAAGTATACCCACATTTTTTGTGCAAAAAGTACTGGTAGCTATTAAACTAAATGTTCCTAATCGGATTTTTTGCTAGCATAATTATAAGTATGGTTTTTGAAGGCTTCTGTAAAAAAAGGTCAAAGTAGTTTTTGGAAGCTGGGTGGTAATATGGAATTGTGTGTTTTCAAAAAAATGCTTTAATATATTCAAAAACAAATAGAAAAATACAAAAAAGTTAATTAATTACAAAATCATATACTCCAATGTATTTTATCAAAAAAATGCTTTAATAATAGAAAAATATCACCTCCATCAACTTATATTATTCCACCAGCTTTTTTTTGATATTCTCAGGAAGAATTGGCTTTCTACTAGTGTTTTCTTCACAAATTGCTCTGGACCAATGTTTGCTTGAAATGAGAGTTTGCAAAGTAATTTTTTGCACCTCATAAAATTTTGCAGCTTTCTTCAGCCCCATTTTCTTGTCCCTTACCATACTTAACTACCTCTGCCATTTTTTCCTGGCTCCATGTTTGTTTCTTTGGGTTTTTCTTTGGTTTGTTCAGCTGTGCTTTCTCTACGCATCCTGAAAATTTAAAAAAATTAGTTTAAAAGAAAACTTATCTATCAAAAACAGTTTTGTTAACCTAAATAACTTAAGTAGGTCTAGCTAAATTCTGATTTATAGTTTTAGGTATCTATTTCTAATTTTTTAATTTTCTTTCTATTTTTTCACTCATCTACCACATAATTTTACAAAAATTATTCCATGGTTTGAACTTGTGGGTAATATGGAATCCCAGAGGAGTCAGATTCCATATTAAAAACACCAATGGGGTCTATATTTCACGCATTGCCATCTTGGGTTAACTTAATTTCTGTTGACACCAAACTTTAAAAATGTGAACATCAGACAGATTAATATATACTCCAAGGCCTCTAGAACGTGACACATGCATCAGTGAACCTACGACAACATGATTTATATTTTAGAAATAATTAAATTCACTTACCATTGAAAAGTTTGGAATTGCAAAAAACAAGTGTCCTGTTTCACTGAGTGCAACTGCATAACTAAAGTGGGAGATGTCCTTCCCTTGTTATGGATGTCTGCCTAGTGCAGTTCAGCCACAGTTTTCTGGAGTTTACCTATTATCAGTCTGAAATAGCGGGGTTCCATAATACTACTTTTTCCTTTATTATTATTACTATTACCTATTATTATTATTGCTGGTGAATTTCCCTGACTAGTTGATATAATAGATAATAAATGAAATTTTGATAAATTAATTTCAAAAATGATTTATAGTCCAATTCTATGTAAAAATTTTTGTCTTTTTGGCAAAATTTTAAAAATATAACAATTGTAAAGAGAGGTTTTCTGGTGGTAAAAAAACAAGAAACTGATTCTAGATGCAAAATACTGCAGTTTAAAAAATCCTCACTAAACACTTAAAGTGAATGGATCAATCATTCAGGAAATCATTTTTGAGCTTCTAGACAACACCAACAGGTTTACGTTAACACAACAGTTCTGTATAATAAGACCATAGAATTTTATTTATTTATTTGAAAACTCCATACATAAAATTAATTTTTAGGAGGAGGGGTAACATTAATAACTTTGGTTAATAAATTATATTTATTCCATATAGACTCAAATGAGTCGTTGATGGAGAAAAATCCATGAATTCTATCTGCTGGATTTTTACAAACAACATTATTAGTACAAAAAACATTATTAGGAAGTGTTGATAGACGCAGATATTCAAAATCCTGGCAGTCAAACATGTAGTGATTTAAAGTCGCATTTCCTTTCTTACAAAACGGACACATTTCCGATGAACGTAGGTCAACACACAAGTGTTTTCATATTAAACGAAACTTATTTAGACGAATCTGAATGATCGTTTTCTTAACAATAAACGGTAACTGCTGATAATAAATGTAAAAACACCGATTGTTGTCTAGTATTTCTGGATACCATAAATGATACTTAGCCTTAAGAATCCTGTCCCCCTCTTCTCTCAAGAAAAGATTATCAAACTCTTGTAAAATTGTATTTGCATAATATTTCAAAACATCTGGAGAGGAATCTATTAAGGAGAGTGAAAAACCTATTCTATTAAATAGATTCTCCAGTTTAGTAAACCAACAGTATTTGAACGATCTTTTCGATGGAAACTTCTTGAAGGTTAAATAAGCCTCGCATTCCAAAGATGATGGGTCAGAGATTATGCTTGTCAGAAAATTTAAGGTCAGTTTTATCAAACGTTTCCGAGGAAACTCAAGGCCCAATTCTGATCTGATTGCATACGATGGGACCGACCTCTCGAGACCAAAAAGACGACGAAAGAACATCAGTTCTATAGAGTCAATATCTTCAAAGCAAAAAGGCCCCCAAAAGGGCAAACCATAAGACCAACTCGAAGTAAAAAGAGAGGCGGCAAGTTTCTTACATAAAGCCATATGGCTGTTTTTAACCTTTCTCAAGATGTCTATAATAACATTTATCTTGGAAAATGCTTTACCTTTAACGTAAGAAATGTAATTTTGGAACGAGCCAGTAGCTGAGAGACAAATCCCCAAATATATTACTTCATTAACAATACTGACTCCTCTACCATTTAAGAAAAACTTATCAGCTTTCCTCAACCTTCCACCTTGTCTAAAAATTATTATTTTCGACTTTGATAAATTAATGCGCAAACCCAAATTAGAGGAATAATTATATAACCTGTCCAGTTTTCTTTGTAGATAAATCGGGGTAGTGGATAACACCACTGTATCATCAGCAAATTGAAGTAAATGGACTTCGTAGTTTCCCAGAGAAATGGAATCTTTACTTAAATCATCAAAAACGTGTACCATGTCGTTAACATAACAAATAAACAATATCGGACTTAAGGAATCACCCTGTGGCAAACCCTTTTCCAATGAAAAGGCATCAGTAAATCCGGCACTAGTGGAAACCCTTGCTTTCAAACCTGAAAATAGACATTGAATAATGTCAATAAACTTATCTGAGATTCCAAGCATTTTTAATTTCGATAACAAAATCTTCAAAACAACACTGTCAAAAGCTTTCTCGTAGTCAATAAACACTGCAAGTAAACGTTGTCTTTTCTTTGAAAGTTGTCTACAAATAATGGAATGGAGAATCAAAATATTACTCAAAGTGCTCTTCCGAGGTTGGAAAGCAAACTGCACAGGTTGAATCAAACTCCTCTCTCTTAGCCAAGTACTCAATCTATTTGCCAAAATAGAGGTAAATATCTTTTGAACTACAGGCAACAACGATATTGGTCGAAAGTTAGCGGGATCATCTAGTGGACCTTTTTTATGGATAACTTTTATCTTTACCTCCAACCACTGTTTCGGGATTCTAGCAGTGTCATAAACCCGATTAAATAACTTGGCCAAGTAAGGAACCAAAGTGTCCCTTGAGTAAACAATTAAAGACGGTGAAACATTATCCACCCCGGGAGCAGAACGAATCCGCATTTTTTGAAGTGTTGTATTCACCTCTGAATCAGAAATAGGAAGATCCAAAATAGGATCAACAATACAAGAAGCCATCGGTAGTGACATAATCGGAAGTAATTTCGCTGTATTTAAACTAAATAACTTTTGATAATAAATAAACCAAGCGGTCAAGGAAATCTCATGGTCTAGTATACGCCTGACCCGACAAAAACGACCTACCCGAAACCAAAAGGCCTTAGAATCTCTAATACCAGCCAACTGGAATGCATAATTACAAAAATATCTCCTCTTTTTGGCCTTAATAAGTGAATTATATTGTCGTTTCAAATTTAAAAAAGAGGCCAAATCAGCCTGGCTGTTAGATCTGCGAAATTTGCCCAGGGCAGTGTTCCTCACTCGCTTCTGAATGTAGCACGACCCATCAAACCAAGGGGGACGAGCCCTCCTATAAGGCCCAACACCTTCAATTAACACATTTAGTCTTCTTTCTATAGAGCATAGCTCGGACAAAATAATACCATAGAAATCTTCAACAGTCATCGAATCAAAGTTTAAATTCTGGAAACTCTGCGATACGGCATCACCAAACAATTCTACTTTAGAATCATCCCAAACAAAACGAATCTTAGTGGGGCTAGGCCCATCAACAAAAGAAAATCTGTTTCCGGTTGACAACTGTAATTCCACTGGAAAATGGTCCGAAGATGAGAGAGACCCAACACGAAAGGATTCAACCTTACGAACCAGATTCTGAGAAACGACAATAAAGTCTATTACCGAGCTATCCACTTTTGACAAAAAAGTTAGTTCACCTGGGAAATCTCCTTTAGTACGACCAATGAGGAGAATAAAATCATGTTCAATCAACCATTGCAGAAATTGTCTCCCGGCCGGTCAAGCTTTAAATCCTTTGACCTTCTGACATCAAAAATGTTGGGAGAAGCTACATCCAAATGCGAGTCAATTACTTCACCAATATGAACGTTAAAATCGCCCATTATCACAATTCCATTGTAGTACGAAGACCATGAGTTCAAAATAGAAGAAAACAAATCCAAACGTAAGCCATGCTGCCTCAGCGAACCAGCATATACCACTAACACCAGGATCTTCCTAGGTTCGAGAGCCGAATACAGTGATAAACCAATCACCATCAAATCAGGGTATGTTTCCAACAACTCGAAGTGCCCTCTAACTTTATCAAAAAAGAACAAAATACCCCCATGGGGTCTACCTCGGCCCCAATGGCTTTTCCGCTGGAATCATGAAATACTTCCAGTTAACTGGAAGAAAGTTAGCAAGAAAATCTCCATCCACTGATACCATCCAGGTTTCAACAAGGGCTATACAAATTAAACCTGGTCGTTTAGTCATGTAATCCAACAAAGAACACTTGGTGCTAAACCCACAACAATTCCAAAAAAACAAAGATTCCGAATAACTACCTGAACCTAACTGGTCCGGGCACGAAGTTGAAAGTCTCTCCAAACCTATTTTCCTGCGGGGAGGAAAATTCAAAATAAAAAAGAAACAGGCACCTCAATTAAATGATGGTCCAAAATAGAATACGTGAATGTCTTGTCGTCTACATGTAATACGTCATCTCGCAAAAAAACATGACGACCAGCTCCCCGGTATTCTTTTAAAAAGGTAACCAGATTTTTACGGCAAACACGGGAGTTAAACGACAGATCCGGTGCCAACCTAAATTTCACCGATCTTTCCCTATCCGCTTGAAAAGTTTTCGTCTGAAATTTTTGCAATAAATGGTTTCGACATTTCCAGGACGACAACTGGATGCAATAGAATTCCCGAGCTTTACCTTGACAACATTGACAATATTATGCCCCGACAGATCAGTCACATCCAGTTCCTTAGAAAATAGGTTAACAATATAATCCCGCGAATCCAACTCGGGCGGAATACTATGGTTAAACAACATTAAATTGCTTCTGTTTGAAGCATTAACTTGTCTATCGTAGGCAAAGGAGTGTAACTCACCAATATCTTCCAATGGTAACTGTTGTTGCTGTTCCAGTTTATCTAATCGGGAACTTACGTTAGAAAAGTCAGTTTCCAATTTCCTTACCGAGGACAAGGTTGACTGGTTGGCCATTTCCAGACTGGCAAGTCTATCTTCGATACACTTCAACTGCATCATTAGTGCATTTAAAGTCGTCTCCAAATATTGCCGTAAATTTAACAATTCTTCTCTATCTGGGTCCAGAGGAGATTGCCTCTTAAAATATTGATCCAACCTTGGATATTTAACACCAGGATCACTCGGTGAACGGTGATGTTTAGTTCCCTTCCGTTCTTCTTGGGTTTGCTTTAATGCCTCTAGAGGAGTACGTGGGAACATTTCCAAAAAAATTAGAACTAATAACACTGAATAACACAATAAAAATATACCAACTTGGGTAGCAAATAAATAAAAGGCACAGTAATTTACAATAAGAAAAAGTGTTAACAAATCTCCAACAAAAAGTCACCAGCAGCTGAGGTTACTCAACAGCGCCCCCCTATAATAAGACCATAGAATTTCATATGGATAGTTTATTACAGATCACCAATAAACCAATGCATAAAATCTTCATAACAAATCTTTGAAGTATGAATTTATTTTTCCTCCAGATTGATTCAAGTTAACCTGCTTCTACTGTAATACTTTTTATTAACATATGCATGACAGTTGTATTGCAGATGGTCCAGTAAACCATATTTGTCATCATAAATGTTTTTAAAAATTTTTGAAGTTCAAGCAAATTTTAATTGTTTTGATATCAATGCAGTGGACTTAAGTGCCTGTAGCCCTCCCACTATTTGAAAAGATTTTTCTCATATATTGTCTGAAAATTTAGTAAAAACAATTTTTTTTTTTTTTCAAATGAAGGAATTTAGAATGCTCATTATTTCATTAAATGGAACAATCAAATTTTTAAAACTGCACATATTAATTTGTATATATTTTTTTATACTAAATTTCACTAATCAATTAATATTGTTTTTGTCCTAATTTTTAATAAATGCTAATTATATTATATAAAAATTCTCTTCATATTACATATTTAATTGTTTTATTAATCAAAGTATTAATATTTGGTATTAATTTTTACTTAGGATTTGCGAAGTTATCCTCAATCCTCCAAGAAACAAAGAAATAAAGATGGTTTAATAGATAAATCAAAGTCGACTTACCAAAATATGCATGGATCTAATTCTAATCAACATTTTTCAACAAACCATTCTTCTAATAAATTATCTCTAGCTGCTTGGCAAAGTGAACAACAGGCAAGAAATTAAATAATTATTTATCAGTTTAGTTATTAATGAATTTTCAATGATTTTGTATTTGTCAGAGAAAATATGTCATTATAAAAAACATACCCTATAAACCAGTGAGTGGTGAGCGATGAAAAAAACAAAAAGGAAAGTTCACCACTAACATTTTTGAACTCCCCTGAGTTTTTCTTCAAGTGTTAAATGGAATTTCTGGTGGAACATAAAATACTTGGAATATGAAAATTTGGAGAAGAATTGTTCGAATCCAACGCTCAAGAAATATATGTCATGTCGCGCATGCACATTGTATGGCTAGCAGATCTTGACATTTAAAGATCAGTGTCAATCAGACCTTTCTCTTTTGTTTTTTCATCGCACACCACTCATTGATTTATAGGGTACATTTTTTACTACAACCCAGTGTTGTTGTTTAATATGGCGTTATTTTGATTATATTTAATGAATCTTGGATGTTAAGTTGTCATTGTACTTACTTGTACTGTATATATTCATTTGTTTTTGCTAAACTCTTTCTTCCTGTGTTTTCTTATATCGAAATTCGTATTCTGGCATTCCTCTCTCAAAAGATGAATTCTTTCAGCTACAGACACATCTACAATTATCATTTAAGTTTTATGCTTTAGTTTCTGATTTGAGAGTTTTGATCATTACAAAGAATTTTAATTAGAATATAATTTAGTTTTTTAATTAGACTCTTGTACCACAAATGCCAAATGATCTGTTGGATTTTTCAGGCTGTGTTAAAGCTACATTGGCAAATTTTTTGGTAATATTATAGTATGGGTTGTAATTTATATTTTGTACAGATATTTTTATAACCTAAAATACTGTTTATTTTTTGTTTTTCATTATTCAATAATGAATTTTCTGCAGTTATAAATTATAACCTTATATTGAATTAACCAAATAATACAGTAATTATTAATAATTTATTTCCTCAGGCCAAATTTATGATTTGATTACTAAATATTAGAGTTACAGCATGTAAATAATCCAGTAATTAGGTCTTCTCTGCATTTTTATAACAAAATTCCATCAGGGACTAAATTTCAGGGAAATGTATTCCTAAGAAATTCCTTGCCAGAATAATAATGACACGGGGAGATTCCTTTCCAGTTTATGTTGTTATATTGTTAATTATGCCAGGTTTACATGTGCATGGATTTGCTGGCACAAGTTCTCTTTCCAGTAAAACTTTTGTGCCAGTTACTGTTTACTGTGAGGCTCCGGAAATAGCTCCCCAAAAAAAGAAAGAGATGTAAAAATTTGTTAAATCTTGAGATAAAAAAATTATATAAGTGTCGAATCGGTGATACCGGACTGACGTCAGCGCTCATAAATAGTATTGATATAAGGAAAAACAAAATTTTAGATATAGAAAAAGAAAATTTAAAGTTAAGATGCACTTTAGAAAGCAAAATGAAACTAGAAAAATATCAGAATGAGCGTAGGTGTCATAGTCAACAATTAAACACAATCAGAGTCTAAAAGATGGTGTCGGATAAACCATCTCCAGTCGACCTTTTCCGCAAACTTTATGAAGCTCCATTTACACCTGGAGATGGGTGGAAGACCAATTAGAAAGTGATGATGTAAAGTCTGTCCAATTAGCAGCAAGTCGATCTCGAAAAACCTATAAAAACACCGATTCTAAGGACAACGGAACTTCCACAAAAGTCTCGATTGTTCCACACCTGTTGTATTCACGTCCTGTTCACAGTCCACGACCTGTTGTGTTCGTCGTCCTCTTCTCTTGGTGCTTCCACTCGCCACTATCTTGTGACTGTACAACTCCGAACTTTAACACACCATCGCCCCAGGGCTCCTCTTCAGCTTGACGGAAAGAAAAACATCAGTCATCCAATTGCTAGGACTGAGACATATGGGACCCTATCAATCATTTGTAAGCATGATCTTCAAAAAAATAAATAGTTTATTTGTTAAGCACTTGTCTCTTGCTGCCTCTAAAAACTGCCGCCCACATACGCGTAGACCTTAGACCAACGGTTCCCAACCTTTTTCGGGTGGCGACCCCTTTTTATAAAAGCCAAGTGACCCGCGACCCCGATACTATTGAAAAAGACATTTTTAATTAGGTAATTAAAAAAACAACGAAATTAGTTTTTAGTATAATTTTATTTTAAATTATGTCTAATAATTTAATGCGATTGTTGAAATTGTATGTTATTAACCAGCCTTAAAATTCGCGGGTGAGTTTTTGTTAACGCCAACCTCATGTCATTCTCAACATTTAATTTATTCCTCTCAAACTCTCAACACATGATTCAACCAACTGTGACGGAATAGCGTACCTAGATTACACTTATTTTAATTTTTAAAAAA